AGAGAGAGAGAAAGACAGAGAGAGAGAGAGAGAGAGAGAGAGAGAGAAAGACAGAGAGAAATAGAGAAAGACAGAGAGAGAGACAGAGAGAGAGACAGAGAGAAAGAAAGACAGAGAGAAATAGAGAAAGACAGAGAGAAAGAGAAAGAAAGAGAAAGAGAGAGAGAGAGAGAGAGAGAAAGAGACAGACAGATAGAGAGACAGATAGTTAGAGACAGACAAACAGATAAATGTTAAGTAGGCAGGCAGGCAGATGTAAATAACGGATTTCACCTCTGGCTGGAGCTGCTTAAGATGTCTATTTTTAAGGCGAGGGACCCTAACTAACCCGTCAGAGGGGAAGAGAGAAGCGAGGAAGCGGAAGCGGAACCTGATTTAAACCCAGGCATTTCCCCCAACGAGACCAATGGTTAAAATGAAGGGAAACTGACTGGGCGCGGGTCCTGGAAACTCCGGTCAGCTTTTTCAAACGGCGTGGCTCCCACCTGACGTTTCACGTCCGGACAGGGTGTCTGATTTCCCCGTACACGATTTCTGGAGCGACTTAGGAGAAGCTGAGATCTCTCCAGGATCGCAGCAAACACAGGAAGAAGACGCAAGTCGAAAACCGTAGAAATATGGAAGCCGACAATGTCTAAATTGGACAGTTGTTCCCTGGTTCCGTTGCAAGCCTGGGGTGTGTGTGTGTGTCAGCAATCGACCAGAAAACTTGTGTCGTTCTTCTCCATTTCGTTCTCTGTCTCTCTCACACGCGCATAAGGCCGGCAGACGCGCACACGATTGTGAACGCGAGAGGCTCAAATCCAACCTGAAATCTTAGCCGCTCGGCTTGATCCCCCAATATTGTTTATGTTTATGTTTATTTAGATTTGTATACCGCCCTACCTCCCTTACGGGACTCAGGGCGGTGAACAGGCGATAATAAAAATCACAATAAATATCTATTCTAAAATCAAATTAAATAAACAAAGGCCTGCTCTAAAATACCCCATATAAAAACCTATACTAAAACCTAATTAAGACTACGCCAGGCCGGCCGCACGAAATAGATGGGTTTTCACTGCAGTCGGATTTCACTCCCTAATAATAAGCGTTTTAGGATTGCAATCCACAACTAGTTAAAAAAAAAATTAAGCATTTACATAGCACCCTTCATAATCTTGTGTGTGTGTGTGTTTATGCCCGGCAGCTGAATAGGTTAAAATTTTTCATTTTTAAAAACAAAACAAAACGACGAACTCCCAGCAAAATGGAATAAAATACACAATACGCCGAACTAACTAGGAGAATGAAGACGTGTTCGCCAAGCGCCTGCCTATGGTAAAATAAGCACTAAAGAGATTTAACAACCTCTGAGACCTTTTCATCGCGAGGATCTGGTCTCTAATATTTTTTTTGCATTATCCTTGTCTGCGTCCAAGAGAACCCCACTGCACGCTGTAAGTTTTTACCGCTGTGTCCCTAATCGTGGAAGAAATCTCTGGACAGCTCCGCTTTTCATTGCGCAAACTTTTTACATTAATGCAACAATAGGATATTTGGAGATTTCTAAAAAAGAATTTTCACTTGAATTGTGTAGGTCTGCTGGGAACTGCACACCAATTTTTAGTTCCGTGGGCTCCTGCGGTGTGAGAGCGTAACTCACACCGGCAGCCTTCTAGTGTAACCCTACGGTGTATATTTCAAAACCAAAGGTCAACGAGTCCAAGGAACTTTCAGGTGTGCAGGATTGCAACAGGTACCTCCTTCTCTGTCCTTCTTGGAGTGGCGATATTGTAGGACGCCGTGGTTCAGGCTTTGATTTTAATTAAAAAGAAACAAAAACAAAAACTCTACTCTAGATTGGCTTCTGAAGTTGGAGCACAATCCGACGCCTTTCGCTCCATAGATTGCGAGCAAGCGGCTGGATTTTTTTTTGAGGTCAGCCTGAAAAAGGATCCCACAATTATTTTTCGGTCACAGCCAGCCGGAAAAAGCACTCGGGGGATAGGCAGACTTTGCGGTTTGATGGTATTAAACACATTTTCCTAGGATGTAGTGTAAGCTGTTCCGACTGAAGCTGCCTTTTGCAATTGACTGGTGGCGAATTGGTCAATGCCGATGGTGTTCAAGTGGTGCTCCAGTTGTTTTGGGATTGCACCCAAGGCGCCTATTCTGTTGGGATTATCTTTGCTTTCTTTTGCCACAGTCGTTCTACTTCTATTTGCAGGTCTTTATATTTTGTGATTTTCCCCCCCATCCTTTCTCTCCTGTTCTGCTGCCTCCAGGTACTGCAATGTTGTTATCCACTTATATACTTTTATATACTTTTTATTTGGTCTTTCTTATCAACAATTGGGAAGAGTTCATGTGGTAGGTGCCAATCTGTTTGAATTATAAAATCCCGCTTTAGTTTCATCATTTTCTATGACTTTCTCATGTTATGGTCCCACCAGTTCTTGCTCACAGGGAAGTGATATTTCTTTCTTGAGGATCTTTCAGTTGCCCCTTTGCTGTGACTTATAGTCCGTTTGTGCAATAGGTTAACTAGATGGCCTATCATTTCTTCAGCTGCCTGCAAAATTATTATTATTATTACAGCAATGCTGTTGCTAGGTTGCAATCCACAACCAAATTGCTATGTCTTTATTTCGTCTTGCTTGAATAAAATAGTTCACATTCTGCAGGGAATGGCAGGGCAGGATAAGATATCTAATCATCACCTCCCCCCTTTTAAATAAAACAGTTCTTGTATCTTGATACACCTCATGACTCATGACTCAGGTGATAACTGCTTCGATTGAATAGTTTCTCTTGCACCCCTTCCTTCCTTCCTTCCTTCCTTCCTTCCTATCCATCTTCCTTCCTTCCTACCTTCCATCTTCCTTCCTTCCTTCCCATCCATCTTCCTTCCTTCCCATCCATCTTCCTTCTTTTCTTCTTTCTTTCTTTCTTTCTTTCTTTCTTTCTTTCTTTCTTTCTTTCTTTCTTTCTTTCTTTCCTATCTATCTTTCCTTCCTTCGTTCCTTCCTTCCTTCGTTCCTTCCTTCCTTCCTTCCTTCCTTCCTTCCTTCCTTCTTTCCTTCTTCTTTTTAAAAGATAATAGTTACTGCAGGGATCAATAAATCCCTTAAAACAGGGACTAGCAAATCTGAGGATCCATAAAGGGAGCCAGTGATCAGTGGCTGCATCCATTTAAGATCTATAGGGACCACCTTAGGTCCCCTTCCCCACTTCTCTCTATTTCATTTAAAATAATGTTTAGTTTAGGAGAAAAAAAAATGATTCGCTGTAAAATTTCCTGCTTGTGAAGGTTGAATTCATTTTATATGTATATATACCTTCAAGTTAGCCTTGGCTCCTGGTGGCCGCCT